CTTAAAATGTGTCAAGGTTAACATTCACATGAGGTAAGGAGGAACGGGTGGGGATACTAGCAAGGAGCGCTCAGTACAGGTATTCCTATTAACCATATTTGGTTGACCTTTGACATAGAATTAAAAACCAGTTTTTCTAGAAAATCTGACCTGAAAAATACTTGAATGGTTACTTAATATAAAAATTTGACTTCTGTGATAAACGATTTACATCTTGTCTTTTTCCATCATTAAAAACATGTTTATACCTGACACATGAATACATTGTGGGTTCACAATAAAAATTTCATAAATAAGAGGGTTTTTTCACTCAAAGAAAAGGCTTTAAAGATCAACTATACATAGATGTTTGCTTCAAAGGTAAACTGAAACAAAGAAAGTTTGAAAATGAAACACATGAACTCCCGTTACTTTTCTTTTGACTGTAGTTTAAATATCTCCTCTGCCTACATATCACCCTTCAACTGTCTCCATGTTTCACAGAGTGGTCTTTGTATACAGGTGGTCATACTATGCAGGTTTTAATTAGATGACCTTTAAGGTGGTAGTGGAAACTATAGGTCCAGCCAACAGATGGTCAGATAAGCAAAGCATAGCCAGAATGATGGCGTAGTGGTCAGGGAATGGTTTAACATCTGCATTAGATATGTAAATGACAGTGTGATACAATCACAATGCCTCTGGGAGCATGGTCAATACGTGTCATGTAATTAAAGCTATACTGGTTGCTAAGTAAATGTATTGAATTTTCTAATATCATAACTGACCTTTATATGCTAAATCATACGCAACAACTGGGATTTCCATTTATCATTGACATTATATTACAAGACTACCTATCTAGATTCATATTTGATCATGAAGAAATATAAACAATCTGAAGTGTTGTAAATGTATGACTACCAAATGTACACATTTTCACAAGGGATGCTTCCTCTACGACTTCATCATCAAATCAAGTCTGCCTTTTCATCACTCAATTTGAGCCATTTACAAATGTAGGTCAGAGAAGACATAACCCAATAGCGAAAACTCTGTTGATATTACGTCCAGGGCACCAACGTCAATTTAAGTATGTGCCGTTGCCATGTGCAGCGTTTGCTTGACATAAAAACCCATATAATGGTAATCTCTGACCCAGTGATACCCATCTACACTCTCTTGTTGTAACTAGGCTAATGCAGCATCGACTCCGATGCTCCCTCCTCTCCTCTCCTCTCCTCCGCCTCCTCTTCATCCAATGGAACCATCTTGTTTCATCTTCGTGTAGGTTCTCGTAAAATCAATTGGGTTGAAAATAAATAAAGGCTTGTCAGTTTCTAGCGGTCAGTAGCCTTTCTGATAAACAATTACTGGAAGGACCAAGGGTTCTGAGAAAGGTGACAAGAAGCCGCGGGTGGGCAAGAAGAAGAGAGAGTGATAGTATAGTAAAGAGTGAATGAGAAGGAGAAAGAAATAAAGAGGGAGAGAGACAGAGAGAGAGACAGAGAAACAGAATGAATGGAGAAGAGGAAGAGAGGGAGGATAGGAGAGCAAGATAAAAAGAGACAGAGAGAGTGGAGGAGAGAGAGAGAGAGAGAGAAAGGGTGAGAGGATAGAAAAGCCAGAAATGTACAAATACAAAAACTTGGGAAGAAAACTTTAGCAAAGAGGCAGAGAGAACACAGATTGAGAGAGAGAGGGAGGGAGGGAGGGAGGGAGGGAGGGGGAGAGAGAGAGAGAGAGAGAGAGAGAGAGAGAGGGAGAGAGAAAGAGAGAGTGTGTGTGTGTGTGTGTGTGTGTGTGTGTGTGTGTTACAAAGGGGAAGATATTGGGAATGACACCAATAGAGGTAAAAAAGAGATAGAAAGGAAAGCAAGAATTTCAGGAAAACAAGAGAGAGAGAGAGAGAGAGATGAAGGCACGTGGAGAGAGGATGAATGAGAAGAAGAAATTAGAGGGGAGGGTACCAATATCAACTTGCCATACACCACTGATAAAGAATGAAGAGGACATCAATAATAATCATGAGAGAAGACCTATTGTCTTAGCTAAGGCTTGACCTGAATACAAATAGATTGGAAGTCGTTTCTACATCTGTCTCAATCAACCCATTCTTAGTTTTGCCGTATAATTTGGGTGCCATTTATCCTCAGGGGTTTTACATGTATTGTCGGTAGAAATTGATTGGGTGAGATGGGCCAATACAAAAATGACCAGAGTCAATGAATGAGAGAGAGAGAGAGAAAGAGAGAGAGAGAGAGAGAGAGAGAAATGCTCATCATGTAAATGATATGCCACATTGTCTTATTCAGTAAGAAACCCACATGCATTGTACAAAATAGTGGTATCATAATCAAGTCTAAGATAGAACTTTAAAAAAATGTGAACCTATTTTCTGTTTCCTGCCTGCTATTCAAATTTCATTGTCACTCTCTCATTCTGTATTTTCATTCTCTTTCCTTCATTTCAAATGTTAGTTTTTCAGTATGAAAATTGCTAATAATCAAGTTTTGTTATTTCTTCATGGTTGTGAAGCAAAATAAAAATAGCCTGTCTCCCCAACCCCCTCTTAGAAAAAAGGGGCTCATAGATATCCTGAAAATTGAAATAATTGTGATACATCATCATCATTATCATTATCATAAGTTTGAATTAATTAAAAGCATTTTTGTTTTAGCTTAATGGCTTGCAAATAACAGATTATACATCTATCTATATAACTCTCCATGTCGTTTCACCTCATCACCCCTCATTTACATCAAGCCTACAGTTTTATTCCAAACTGAAGTAAACTGATATCATGCATTAGTCCAGATGGTATAATATGCAGTAAAATGAGCAACCATTAAAAACTGCATAAAATCGTCTTATTATCTGAAAAGTCAATAGCCCGGTTTCATGCCAAATTGAGAGTTGATTTGTATGCAGAAGTCTCTTTCTGTTTGCATTGCCTTACAGTCATCGGACCCATGCCACAAGACGATGACACAACAGTCAATTAAGCAAATTTTTATTGATCACCAAAAATCTATATGGGAAAACCAAATTACGTGGGGGCAATTACAGTGAATTAATCAGTCAAGTGTTAGAGACAATATGATTTTGTGCAGACATTTTTAGGTCTTGTGCCTTGGCTAAAATTGTTTTTCGTAGAGCGTATTAAGTAACTGGACCATGTGAATACAATGTAGAAGTAATAGATGTTCATGTAATGATAACATAGGATAAAAGCCATGTTCTATTGACATTTTGTAATTCTTATAGGCTTTGGATTACATACTTGTTTATTGTTCATTTATTATATTTAAGTCAAAGGCTAACTACATCTATAGAAAGCAACTAGTTATCAGACTACATCTTCAATATATAAGATGCCTGAAAAGAATATTACAATTGGACTCTGGTCTTCTTATTGTACATGTACATTATAATACATAATCTTAAATCTTGAAGTTAATCCATCAGATATTCAAGAAAATGAAATCTATACTTTCCTCTTTCATTAATACAATTCTAATCATCATTAACAGACCAATACTATCATTCATTGACTGAGCAACACCAATGGATTAATCAGTTACAAGTACCCATTCACTTCCCTTCTTAACTCTCATCCGCTCCCAAGCCACAGGAATAGAACCTAACACTGCAAGCAGCCCATGTTTGAAATTACAAACTGACGAAGAAGGCAACTCATCATCGCGCCTTAGAGAAACATCCTGCAAATTCCAAGCGGTCGTGCCGCTGCTGTAGCCGCGCGTCGGGTCGGAACGAGAAATGGATGGCTGATGAAGTGATAAAGTGGAAAGAGTTTAAAGAAAGGACAGTAATGAGACTGGAATTGAGATCAACACCAGGTTTTCTGACCATGGACTTAGGATTCAAGGGCATTAGCTTGGTGAGGTAAAGACAGTTTTCAGAGAGAAAGGTATATTAGAAGCAGAGAAGTAAGATGATACTCATAGATAGAAAGATAATAATGCAATAGGGGTAGAAGAAAGAAGGATTTATCAAATTAATATGGTTAAGTATTAAAAGGCCATTAACTTCAAGTGTTCCTATGTAGGTTATACATACAGCTCATACAGGTCAATTTCACCCATCTTGCATTTTGTTAGGTATGAACCGGGATATCTCTCTGCCGAGTCTTCAATGAGATTAGCATTTGCTTATTTCAGGAAAGAAAGACCCATTTGTATTAGGTAACAATTTCCATTGACTTGTGAAACATCTAATAGATATATCAGAGTGACACCAAGCAACTTATCTCTTTTCATATATGACAAAGGAGCTAAAAATAAAAAAAGGTGCGAGGATTGAAAAGGCATCGATGGAAAGTTACAAAGACATTATCATTCAGTAAATGATTTTGGCTTTTAACCCCATGTGCATTTGGTGTAAAGAGATAAGATAATTTATAAGATGTTTTTGCTTTGTTCAATTGGTTGTATTCCTACCATTCTCTCTTCAGCTGTTTGAGATACCAGGACAATTCATGGGGTAACTTGTACTACACACAACATACAGTCACGTCCCATTTCCAATCTAATACTCTAAACTTCGCTAATCATTTCTATAGGAACAGCATTAATAACATACCACAGATTCAGACTCTGTGCATCAAGTATGAGATCAGTTTTGTCTTTGAATAAAGTCGAAATTCCCAAGGACAGCTATTTGTCATTCTTGTCGGTTGAACATGTAAAATCTAATTCTCGACGCTGGTTCTACCAATCATCGTCGACCTTGGCTCCATTTTAAATCATCTCTAAGTCTGAGAGAGAAAAGTGATGTTCTCAATCAGCAATAACTTTATGAAATTGTGTCTGTTGCGCCGTGGTGCCCCTGCGGAGGCAAGCACTACGTGATGGTGCACCCATTGACGTCACCTGGGCAGGTCTAGTATGGTGTAACTTGCAGCCGGCTCCCCCCATGCGCAAGATGGATATCAACATGGGGTAGCCAGCTATCAATTTTCATAATAATCACACAAATTGAAACACCAAGGACGATGCATATTCACCGGTATATCTTATGTATTTGAGGGTTAGATTTATATATTAGAGTTATATTGATCTACACAAACATCCCAACAATGTTTACGGCTGGATCAAGATTACAATTCACATTGCTAAGTGACAGTATTTACCTCACAATGTCTATAGACTAGATAAACAAAAAACTAATGCATTTTAAAACCAATTTGAAACTTTTTTCACAATACTAAATCAATATCAAGAAATATAATTTAAATATTGAAGGATTAACTCACCACTTTAATCCCTTTCTCTGTCATGTTTTTAATGTTCTTGCTTCTTAACCTATACAGTTGGAAGAAGGAAAGGTAACAGGCATATAATGATAGGAAAATTAAAGTGATTTATTCTTCAGGATTACATATGTCAAAAGATTATTTCAATTTGTTGTTGTTTTAATTTCCCAATTTCTCTGTCTGATTGTCAGAAAAATAAAGAAACAAGCATGACAACATTTTTTTAAAAATTAATCAAGGAATAATTTTCTTGCTTGTGATTCCTAATTAAAAAAAGATGCAGTCTATGAGCTATGTATGGCTTTGTATCATTGAATATAATTATATAGCACTTAATTTCATTTGATTAATCAAATCATGATAATAAAGTAGAAACAAGAAACGAGCATGTACAGCACTTACCAAATAATTGTGATGTATGTCTGCATTAGGATGTAGATTGTACTTGGGTGATCAAGAAGCCCAGATTCATCTTCATATAAAATAGCAAAATACATTCATTAGAAAACCTCTTTAGATTTGACACTTCACATAGTGATATACCTCTAACATTGATTTCTATATCCCATTATTCTTCTCATTACTGCCAATGTACAAGATTGTTGTTAAAACATGTCATATTTATCTGGAGTGCCAAATTGGAAATTATTAGACATCTATTTTTTTCAAAGCAACACAAAGGTACTTCAGCACTTTACCTTACTGCATCTCATTAATGTAACTTCCCCATTCATGGCCATTTAAAGCATTCCTGAGTAGATTACAAGCATTCCTTTCATATACTTTAAATAGTGTTTACATTACAAGTACCATCAACAGCATCAAGTATTATGAGACATGCAATGTTTGTTTCAGCCTTTGAAAGAGGGTGAGAGTAAGTGATAGAGAGATGGACAGAAATAAACGAGGACAGAGTAAAAAGAGAAAAGAAGACAAAGAAGAAAGAGAGAGAAATAGGCACGGTTTAATGTTATCTTCAAACACAATGATAATCTATCATTCAGATCAAAGATGTTTCCTATCAAACTGCATGAAACGTCACAGACATGGTCCTAACAAGTATAAAACCGTACATCTGGAGTCTGACTTGAGTATGCACTGGCTACACATTTGCTGTTTTGCTGAGAAACGTTGAATCAGTAAGGTCATCTATCAAAACGATGTCAATCTCTGATCAGAACTCACCAGGGACCGTCATGTCTCTTTACTGCATGCCAGCAAGACGGTAGTCAACATTTTTAGGATGCTGGCAAGAAGCTTGGTGAAGAGTCATGCAGCTTATGTAGATCACTGCTTATGTACAGAGCTGCTAGAATTGGGAGAAGTTAATATTTCAAGGACAAAAACAGCAACATCAATCAATAAATGTGTTACAGCATAAAATGTATAATTCAAGTAATTGTATTATCCCTAAAACATCAATAACTACAAACAAACTTTTAAAATGGCTAGTACCATACATCTACTGCAGATGTGAATTCACTTTACATGTTTATTTTAACCACACATTACATTTTGTACTCCATGATTCTAGCTGTATATGAATTATCTTCTTTTCATAAACAGTATTTTTATTTGTTAAAAATGATCTTAAGCTTTAATTGACCCCTACAATAAACAGGTAAAGTGACAAACTCTATTTTGTAATAAGAAATTGATTCAAATGGTGGCAGATGAAATGATAATTGTTTTAACTGTTAGCTAATTGAATGCTTTCCTTTTAAAAAGAACTACGCAGCAATTACTATTAGGATGAAATATGAAGTGCACCTTATATTCTTTGCACACCTTTAGAGACCTGACAATGTGAACCAGAGGATGTAAACTGGGTGATGTCCTAGGAGGAAGATGAAGGCCGTCCTCAGCATGGTCTCTGGTAGGAGGGCTATGATACCAGCGGGTGGACTGCATCTCTATCGTACCATCACGACTTCTACTTCCCATTCAGAGGACTGTTTGTCAGCTTAAATTATGGACCAAGAGAGATCCTGTCCTGTGTTTGAGTTTAGGACAAGATCTACCTTGGGTTTTTCTTTTTTCTTTTTGATTTAAGGACACATTGGATGCAGAATCTTCTGCGTTTGAAGTGAAGTAGTGTCCTCTAGAATGGACTACAGTATAATTCATAGGATTGTTTGGTCAACCAAAATGTGGTCCTAGGAAGATCTTGTCCTAGTTTGGAGGCCATCTTGATTTCATTTCGACTATAAATAGTTTGTTTATATCATTTTTACATGGATGGCTGGATATACTACATGCAGAAACCTCTGCATTTAATGTGTTGCATCACCTCCATGAATGGACAACAGACTCACATTGTCAAAGTCATTTAGGAAGACAGTTAAACAAATATGCAACAACAATACTTCTAGTGTGTCTTTCCTTATGATTAAAGATCTGTTAAATTTGTAGAACTACCCAACAATGTCGGTAGTTGATACTTCTATCACATCATTAGAGAAAGGGCACTATGCTTTATGCTCATCCGTTGAGAGCCAGGTGGACAGTAACTCATTTAATTTTACAAGGCATTAACACCCTTCTGGCTCTCAGCAGACCATACAGTGTAACATGCAGTCTGCTCCCCCTGGTCCCCATCTACCCTATATACCTAATTTCATTTGCTAGAAAAAAAGCACAGATATAAATATCCTTTTTTCTGATAAATAAGATCTCATTTCATCAGGTTATCCTGCCCCAGGAAATAAAATTTGACACCAGCAACATTTGTGTTGCTTTACAAAGACTTTTGATATCACTTTGGACGACCATTCATATTATCTTCATTTAATGGCTCAAGCGCTAAACAAACATTATTCCTTATGGATAATGATTTGGGATTATAAAGCATTCAGACGATTTCATTTTCCCACATACATCACTGTCATGGCAAGGGAATCCCTCAGGCAATGTGAATGCGTCAGTGAACAAGTCACAACTCTAACGCATCATCCTTGAATTGGCAATGTCATACCCACGGTCGACATTTTCAACACCATCAACTTTTTTTTAATCAGTAAGGTAAATATCTTTTCTTTTCATCTAATGCATCATGAGACAGCTTTGTAAGAAGAGACATTACATACAAATTCACAAGAATGCTTATTACAAATTGCACAATAGTTTAAGTAAACAATTCAATGATAAAAGTGAATGCTTTGCTTGTAAACTCACATACAATAATACCCTGTTTGGGTTTGCTAAGAACATTCTACTTACATCAATATGCAATGGAGTAAGAAACAACTCTCAATAATTGCCGATGCTGCGAGACCCTAACCTCAACTGGATTGAATGGTAAACTAGGATGGCATGGAATTTTCAGATAATCTTATATACTGAATTTTCATTTTAATGTTTTGTCAATAGTTTGAAATGAACAGAAATAATAAGGACAACTACTTGTATAGGAAACTAACCTGTAAAAGCATTAGCTGCTTAGACAATACTAAGATGCCACTCTTAATAACCAACATGTTTGGAATGCTTAGAGTACCAATGCTTGTTGCTCTCTTCACACATCTATCTTCCTGGGAGTCCATCTCTTAAAGGTAACACACACCATTTATCAAGGACAATCGTCTTTCTAGATGTTTAACCCAATGCTTTCATGACTGACTGGTTCATGTATTAAGCCTATGGGAAAGAGAGAATCTGGTAGTCGGTGTCTTAAGATTAGAAGCCTGATCAATTTTTTTCTTCACAAAGCCTTAACAGGTGTATAAGGGGTCCTAGAAAGCTGGGATATATATCAAAGAAACAAATGGATTTACTCTTTGAATAATGTTTGAAATAAAAAATTCCCATTTAGAGTTTATGTTTGAGATTTATCATCATAATCAGAATCATATCATGTAAATTGCAAGCTCGCTAATCATTATATCTGTGAAATATTTAATGTTTAGTAGACAAGTTGTGAAGCAAATGATTTACAATTGGCAACACTACACTTAGAAATTTGAAAAAATGCAGTGATTCAAGAAGTTTTATTCTATCCTCTAGGAGTATTGAAACCATTGAAAATCAAGAAAAATTTAATTTTGAACCTTTTTGACAATGCCCAACTCCGTGCGCAACCTCCACACATATCTCTAAAATTTCTCTTCTTTTACATGCATGTTAAACACAGGCAAGCATTCTATTTTACACACTTAATCACTCACAACTTCTCTAGAAAACTCGTCATCACCATCATCATACAAACTATGAATGAAAATTGGCAATGCTATGCTACTTCTATTATTACCACAACTACGACAACAACCACTACCACCACTTCTACTACTAATTTTACTACTACTACTACTACTACTACTACTACTACTACTACTACTACTACTCCTACTCCTACTACTACTACTACTACTACTACTACTACTAATACTATTACTACTACAACTACTACTACTTCTACAATCATCAATATCATGCACTGCAATTTCTAAGAATATCACCATTTACCTAAATGTATATAAAAGTGACATTTCATATTTTCTCATCCTTATATGTGACTTTCATTTTTATAGAAACACAATTTTTTTCTTCTTTCAAAAACATTCTTATCATTGGATCAGCTGAAGTGACAAATCCTTACATTGTTCTAATTCCTCCTTATCTTTATCTACCATCAGTCATCCTACCCATAATGGAAACTAGATGTAGAGCATTCATTCACTCCACCCCCACCCCCCCCCCCATCCACATCGATCATCAAATATCCAAAGGGCTTTTTCACCGTTCCATACATAGCCATGATTTATTCAGCTTTCTAAAATTCTCCATTTCTCACTCAGTAACTCTGAAATTAGGGTTGAGAAGAAGGATGAATGCCCGGCCTGCCCATCATTTATCTTGTCTCGTTATCCTGCGTTATCCCGCATTACACAGCTCCCTTAAATTTGCTAATGTGTAAGGTGCTCTATAACATGGTTTAGATGCTCGGACAGACACCCATCTCTGCCTGCCTGTAGCGTACTGTCTCAATGTGAGGTGCATTTAAATGAAATCAGCTTATTTACAAGTGAATTGGGAGTTTGTTGGAGGAATTGGTTGATTCACTATTTTATCTGCCATCTGTGCTTGACTGAAGCAAGCCTAAGGCTGGGAGTAGGATGAAAACTGGATCTTCGTTTCCATTCATGAGACAACTAGTTAAAGGGATAGTCAACATATTATATTCTAATATAAGTGACTTTATATTGGTTTTGAATTTATACTTTAAGTAATTTTGTTAAGTGAAGGATTATTTTAAGGATCATCTTTGATCACTTAATAAAACAGAAAAGAACATGGGGTGTGAAATTGAAGTTTAGATTTAAGGATCATGATTTCATCATTATTTGTCATTCTTTTCAGTTGCCAATTTTCTAATTATTTCATACATATCCATCCCAAGATAAGTTCCTTCACATCTCTACTACTTCAATGTACAGACACATATACATAAGATTACATAATAACAGAAATAGCATTGTACATTTTTAGAATACATTAATCATTTATTCTTATTCAAAATCTTGATGCAGTACATCTCATAAACTTTCAGTCATACATAGAAGTGTCATCATCAGTCATATATACAATACCCCAAAATCATATCAGTTCCACTAAGTAGTACAAAAAGAAAGAAGACAAATTATATGTGATTAGGTGAAGTGCTACGTTCAACATGTGTGCATTGTGTGAAATACATTGCAATGACCAGTATGTTTCCTTTGAAGAAATATATGTAAAATTTGTCTATATATCATTATATATATATATATAACTTGACAAATATCTGCATAAACTTAAAAGATAATTCCCAGCTTGCCTACAATATCACAGAAAATAAAACAATGTGCCCTGATGGTACATGTATGTACCTATAATAATTGAAACCATTTCTACACAACAAAAGATTCTCAAAATGATAAAATTCAAATCAAATTCATCCTTACTGAGTGACAGGAAAACAAAGAAACAGTTATAACAAATAAAACAATACTTAAGACAATAGCAATTTCACACTGTAATTCAAGAATGTGCAATTTGATTTCAAAAGGAAACTCTTTCAAGTGCAGTTTAGTCTGTGCATCATTTATGGTCTTGGATTAAGAACCTAAGTTAAGAAGCATCTTTCTCCTAAACTTAGATCCTGAAAAAATAAATATTATGCCCTTTACTCAAGTAAATAAAGACATTTTCCCTTTTAAAAAGGGGCTAGCTTTGTAGTGATAGGTGTATATTACAATGAAACATATTTGTTCATACTATATCATTTGTTATTTTGACTTTGTAATAGATTAAAAGATCATTCATCACAGAAAACAAGCTGGTACATTTCTCTCAACATCGGTTTCTCAGTTGAAAATAGACCCTGTATGTGACTAGAAAAAAACCCTTCAATCTCATTAGATTTGAGAATGCTTGGTGGTGATATTAATATGGAATGACAGAGAGTGAATGAGTTCATGTTACCAATCAATTCAAAGCTCCATCTTCTTTAAACATCGATGACAGCAAACCTATTGGATCAAATGAGCCTTTCCTGATTCAATGTAATGCTCATTTCTCAATAAACTGATTGCACAGGATCAATGGAGAAGTCGCTGCCAATACACATTACTTAGAAATGTCCAGGGCAGTCAAGATTTGTTTTATATCACTCAAGCTTTCAAGTTTAAGTATCATCAGGAACAATCAAAAGGTTGCGTGTATTCAATTTCATGAAATATTTAGTTTTCAATGGTGGATAATTAATTCATGTATCATTGGCGAGGGGAACAACAGAACATACAACATTATACAAACAAAAAAACCTCAGAGAAAATGTGTTTTAGTCTAGGGCATCCCTATGCTAAACAGCCATAATAGTATTACAAGTGGCTTAACATATACAAACAGGTCCAAAATGTAAAATCGTTAGATATCATTTCAGTTAATGTTCTATGAAGCACCTCTATCATAGGCAAAAAGAGAGTAAGTAGGAATTTGAAATAACTGCTTTGTATGCATATGCATAAGTAAAGTATGCAATATCAACCATCCCAGTTTAAGAAATTTGTTATTAAATAGTAAATTTATGATTGGTGATCACATTTCACTGGGTAAATATATCTACTTATGGTATTATAGGAAATTTTATTCACAAATAGAAAAATAAAAAACACATAATATATGATAATCATCATAAACTTGTTAATTTGGGGTTGGGAATAGCCCCTTTCATAAGTTTTGAAGATCCCTCTCTGCTCTGCGAATTGTCAGTCTTCCTTTTTTATCTTTTAAGTAAGGTTGTCACTGTAGAGTTTGATGTTTTGAAATTAACCAAAACATCTCAGAGTACATTAGCAAACTGCTTCACCCAAAACACACCCATTTATGTTCTATGTATTGTTAAACATTTTTGTTCTGTAAGAATTTTTTTTCCCATCCATCAGTCACTGCTAGGTCATTCAACCCTTCTAGAGAGCTCATTTAACTGCCAAGATAATGATTTGCTTCACATGATAGATATAAAATATACAGTCTGTCAATTACTTATGCTATTGAGCAGAGGGGGTTCCCCCACTTAATACCCTTGCTGCATATAAATGAGATGCGATGCACGGCTAAAATAACATTCTGTGTAATCCTTTTAATGCATTTGAAAGCCTTCAGTTTAATTATTAACTGGATGAGGGATGTCTTTTCGAGCTTGTCATAGTAAAATAGCTATCGTAAATGCATATCTGCTAAGAAATTGCTTGCGAGATAGGACTTATCATCATCATCATATCGGTATATACTGCTAAGATAGTGTAATAGCAATGCACATGAGCTGTATCCCATCTCACCTTTATAAAATAAACTTTGAATTCTTTTATTTCTAGAATGTTTTTTTTAATCTCATAACGTAATGAAGAGTAAGCCTTTTGAAATATTGAATTGATAAATTTTCCAAATTATCAATATATTCTCATGAGAAGATTTATACAATCATATTGAAAGAAAAAAGCTGATGATCAACAGGAAGAGATAGAAATGAAGAAAGAGGGATAGAAAGAGTGAGATATGGAAAGATGTGAAAGATGAATAGATAACTAATAAATGGAATCATAGCGGAAAATGATTTGAGATTAATTCTGAGGGGACATTCATTGGAGAGTGTGAACAAGTCAATAAGATGCTGACCCTGGATTAGATCATGTTTTACCACCGAGATTTTAATTACATTGCCGCGGAAACATGATGTGGGCCGGGACACGTATCATGAACATGCACGTAACTTGGAGCCGACTTTGTTTGTGTTACACATACTGTTGCCACGACGACCATAAGATGCCTAGGAACACTATATGACGGCGATCAAACAACGCCTCTCGTCTGGTGGCATGTTGCTTTGCCCAACCCAATTACAACACAAATAGAGGAACAGTAGATGGCATAGAACAGAGCTGCTGGGATTGGGAGATAGTTGGATGATACAGGGTAAGGAGGTACAAGAAAAGAAACAAGAGTTAGAGAGAGCATTTAAGGGAGAGAAAAAAGAAAGAAAATGCAATAAATAGAGAGAAAGAGAGAGAGAGAGAGATGGAGGGGGAGAGATAGTTATAGTATACACACATATACCCATGCACACAAATATAAACAATTATAAAAGATTTTAAAAAAAATGAAATACAGCAAGAAAGAAAGGAGGAAAGAAAGAAGAAAAGAAAGAAGAAAAGAAAGAAAAAAGAAAAACCAATTCAGAAAAACAAGAAAGAAAGAAAGATATGAGCCCAACTCGTCTTTGGCAACCTACTTGTACAAAAATATACATAACATGGGTGATTTATCATCAAAGCTGGTGTGCATGGGTGAAAATACTTCATAGCCCCCCCCAAAAAAACAAAAAAAAACAAACAAACAAACAAACAACAACAACAACAACAAATGTTATGTAAATCAATCCTTTCAGTTGGCACATTAGTGCGCAGGCACCTACTGTCATAGAAAGATCACCCTCTGCCAAAAAAACAGTATGGAAGTAGAGAGAAAATGACATAAGTCAGATAGCTGGAATACCATGTCACTGTCAATGTCACTAGAATATGATGAGCTAGAAGAATGAGTTGAAATGAAATGGGCGTGTCATTAGAGGTAACATGCTTTCTCTGGCAGAGTAAATCTAGATCAGCGATAGCATCATCCTCTCAATCCTGTATTGCCTGATCCGCTATTATTAGGGCTTATCAAAACATCTTGGGGATTACGCTCCGGTGTACTCTGCCAACAGTGCAGCTAAACCCAGGCCAATTTAGACCCGTCAGCTCTCCTACGCTACAGCATCGGTGCTAAAGAGTCGTATAGGTTTCGACTTTGATGACTGAAATCATATCAACATGAATTTACCTTGCTAATGTATACACTCTCTGACATATCAAACATTCTGTGTTTGCAACATTCTTGTAGGATTGCATAGTGGTGAAGTGTAAGACACAACATACAGTAGTACCCATTTGTCAATATCCAACATTTTTCATTTAAGTCCAATGACAATGAAAATGACAATGACAAATACAATAAAAGTAATCACACCCAAAACATGATATTCTATTATGTAGAACATTACTTTTAAGTAGCTGTATTTAGAACCTATTTGTGCTAAGGATTTAACCAAGGTTGCACAAAGAAAATAATCAGTCTACATCTGATGTGATATCAGGCTTAATCTTCACTGATGACTCGGCTAGGATTTATCTTTAATCTTTGATGTTCTCCTTGCCCCTAGTCATGACATGATATTCCATCTAGTTTCTCCTCAAAAAATGGATATTACTTCACCAAAATAGCCCAAGCTTGGAATTGGAAATTAAAAATTCAGACTTCAAGGAAAGCGGCTTGGAATCTTCACATGAATGAGGAGTATCACATAGCTGCCTAAGGGGTGCTTGGCCTAGTTTATGAGTATGTCTTCTCACTACGAGTCTAATGCATCCTATCTCCTAAATCATAACTGAATGACTCAACAGAGGTAGATGACACCACATTATCTGTTGGTTTACGCAAACTGCCCAGTATTCCCTAGAGCATTTCATAGAGTGGATCCCTAGAGCATTGGATATAATGGATCAACTACTGTTCTGTATAGTAGTAGGAGGTCCTGTTGACGTAGCAGATGGCTTTGTGACAACAGGTTTTGAACGTAGATCTAGTGGGACTACTTGCCCAGGTGATTGCCTACCTGGGCTCTTATGAGAAGGAGACTTGGAGTTTGCATTGAGGCCAAGAGGGAACTTGCTACTTTGGGTTGCACTTACAGGAGACTTGCTACCATGGGCAGGGCTAACAGGAGACTTAGCACTTACAGGAGATTTGCTACGATGGGTAGAGCTGACAGGAGACTTACTGATTAGGGTAGGACTTACAGGAGACTTGCTACCATGGGCAGGGCTAACAGGAGACTTAGCACTTACAGGAGATTTGCTACGATAGGTAGAGCTGACAGGAGACTTACTGATTAGGGTAGCACTTACAGGAGACTTGCTACCATGGGCAGGGCTAACAGGGGACTTGCTGCTAAGAGCATTACTACCAGGAGCCGTGCTGCTACCAAGGGTAGAGCTTACTGGTGACTTGCTACGATGGGCAGAGTTAACAGGAGACTTGCTGCCATGGGCAGAGTTAACAGGAGACTTGCTGCCATGGACAGAGACAACAGGAGACTTGCTGTTATAGGCATCACTAACTGGAGATTTGCTACGATGACCAGAGCTACCAGGAGACTCACTACGATAAAAAGAGCTGATGGGTGACTTGGCACGGCGTGGTGAATATTGAACAGGAGACTTTGGAGGAGATGTCATTGCTAGCTCTCCTGATTGTCCTATAGTTTGAGGTTTAGATTGCTGCAGCATTGAAGACATCTGTGCTTGTTTTTCCAATTTCAGAGAATGCATACTCAAGGTTCCAGGCTGTTTCTGGGATTCCGTTGTCACAGTTACAAAATTATCAGGTTTCTTGTGCTGAATAGCATTTCCCAGTGATGTAGTGCTCTCAGGGTCGCTTGTCACCATTAGTTTGGACTCTTCGAGCAAAGCAGAAGTTGGGATTTGACCAGAAGCATTTTTGACAAGCGATATGGGGTTTGGATGTGACTCTTTGGGAGGACTCAGCCCATCGGATTTGGCCAGACTGATATGGTAAGCCATTCTCTCTTGATCAGCAGCTTTTAGGTTGCTTACTACCGACAGGATTGATTTGTTTTGTGTGTGACCTTTCGTCATGGTCAGCTCTTTGCCCAAGTCAGGTGACTTCCTGAGAGCATGGACTGTCCCTTCACTTGGACGAACTTGGAGTGATACTTTTCCTGGACTTGATGCTTTAGGAGGTGAGTTCTTTACCAAAGTTCCATCTGAATTTGATAAGAGAGAAGCAGATTTCTCTTGTTTGGGAGAGGTCTTTGTTCCCACCTTAGCATCACTTGCACTACATTCCTCTTGTGGCTTACTATCTCCTGTCTTTGTACCACCTCTGTCTTGAGTTGGCTCTGGTATTCCTGTTGCCTGTACTTCAAAAACTTGTTTCTTTGCAGGAGGAGATGTAGTAGAGCCAGCTATTGATTCTGTTGATGCGGATGGAGAAGTGAGCCCTTCTGATGTGGCTATGCTGGGAGGAGGAGTGGTGCTTGCTGGACTACTGGATTCTTGTTTACCTGGATAGTAGAAACAAACAGGGAAATTAAAAAAGATTCTACAACACTTATGTAATTTGATAATTCAGCTATAGAGATCTCAACTTTCCTATATATGGCATAAAAGCAAGCAAGGGTTGCTATGATAACTTCAATATGACTTATGTGATGCCTTGGAAAAAAAATTGAATATATTGAACTGAAACAATTACATTTCTAGTGGTAATTTTTCCTTCTTTCTGTAATTCATGACAATCTGAGTTTTTTCAAGACTACAAGTGAAATGTCCTTTAATCCTGCTGGTCACAACATTTAAGAAATAAAGGTTGTTGGTGTATACACAGAGATGAAATATAAACATTGCATTTTGGGCATCTCAAATTAATATCATGAAATTTAATAAATGTTTAAAGATGATTTGTTTACAATTACTTCTTTTAAAGTACAGTCAGCACACCTTGGAGTACATAACAAGATTTCACAATCATCTTGGCCATTAGAGAGAGGAAAATAAGGATCAATTCTTGAGTAATCTCTACGAAATGGAGTTTTGCTTGCCATTGCTTCTCAACCAACCCTAAGGGTGGGTGAGTAGAGCCTTTAAGAGCTTCCTGCCTGCCTGCCAACCATCCCATTCATTGTAGCAATGCATTGCGGCTAAGCAGTCACATGGGTATTTTCAGAATAAGCACACGCAACTGCCATCACATGATCACTTCAATTCTCAACATCATGCATCCCGGAGTCTCTAACCACGCCACCCTTTCTCTGTCTCCATCTCTCCCTCATCACTCTCCATCTCTCTCTTTCTCCGCTCCCTTCTCTTTCCTACCCGTCCACCTCTTCCACCCTCTTCTTTGGTCTCCTCCTCAACCTCCCTCTCTCTTTCCCGCCAGTCTCTCAACGGCATCCAGGGGCCGGGTAGTGAACATTTGTCGTATTTTGGCTCGCAGCCAGACCTTTCATCATCATCATCACTGGCATCATCGTCCTCCTCCTCTTGATCATGGCGATCCCTCTTGGTTGTCATTATGCATGCATGTGGCGTGCCCCCTGGCCGCGTGTGCTCCTTCCTGCCATGCTGATTTGCATGGAGAATCGGATCAAGCTATCATTCAACCGACTGCTTGCATTCAATCAGCCCTCATTACCAATGCACATCAACATCCTTATCTCTCACTCACTCTCTCTCTCTCTCTTTCTGCTTAGTATGCAGGAACCAATTCCTGTTTCTCTCAGAAAAATTCTCGAAAATTCCCTTCTTCAGTCAGGAAAAGAGACTTTGGAAGCTTAAAAGAAGTTTGTAGAATGGCCTCAATGTGAACACACTCCATACCTAATGCATGGTATATATCCTAACTCATTACTTTTCTTTCAGTTTTATTTTGAATACTTGAGAAACAGAAAAATTAATATAAGGAGCCGGAAAACTTAATAGATTCAAAACAAATTTGAATCACCCAAAAACATTTTGAAAATTAGCTGCAAATTTGTTCTTCTTCAAATAATGATTTTCATTACAGAGAATATCCAATTTCTTTTGGTGACCAATTTCAATTATGAAATTGTATATTCTATTAACAGGATCATTGACTTTCATTGTCATTTGCTGCAACTCGTCAGATCGTTGGAAGAGGAAAATTTAAAGTGATGAAAGTATAATGCCCCTAAATTGTTATACAAAAGCAAAACTATATATGGGATAGTGATAAAATGCCATTCAAAACGTCCACTAACATCCCCACTCTCTCTCTTCCTCTCTCTTTCTCTCTCTCTCTCTTACAAATTTCCTATCAACTCGTGCAACTGTATCCACTCTGCATCTTTCGTTCAGAAAATGGATCGCTGCCATCACTTCCATTCTGGTTGCATCTCTCTCAATTGCTCAAACCAATTTCCTTGAGAATGAGTTAGGTCTCCCTTCAGGCAAGCAGGCAGGCAGGTATAAACCAGTTGTCTCTTACACACGATGACGATACCAACTGAAATTCTCCAGGAAAGTGCTCAAATAGCGAATCATGCAAACAAGCCAATGATCAAATGGATGCATCCTTAAAAGGTATCCTTGTCCTTCTATATTGGGGGGAAAATGAGCTAAGCTTTCTGGTTTAATCAAACAGGGGAAAAGCTTGTGGAGTAGCAGGGTAATTCTTGAAACAAGTTTGGTTATCTGCATTCATGTATACAGTAGAAGCATAAACCTCATATGCAATACTAAGCAAAACAAATGTTAACTAATTATCTTTCATTTTTTCTTCTTCTTATATATTCATGTTTGGTAAAGCCAATATATTAGACCCATTATTCTACAGGTAACAGATTGACCATGCACATATACATGTAGATGCAACAGTTTGATAAAAGCTCGTTATAAATACATTCCCCTTTATGTACTAGTGCTTTGACTCTGAGACAATACTGTAGCACGTTATTGTTCAGGAATAATAGCAGGCACCTCTTGGGAGGTAAGGTGGAGGTAAAAAGGGGCAAGGATGCTTTTCTCCCTACTTTTTGTTATACAGTGTTTGACAGCGATCAGTATGAGATGAGGCTTCAAAACAAACCGGTGGGGGAAGGGAAAGGGGTTTTCCCCAATTTTCATAAAGTTCAATCTCATCTTACTCATTGCCAAGTGCACAGGCTAAAGCCTCACTCCTACATAACATGGTAAACCGCCTAGACAAACAAAAGTAAACACAAAATAAAACAAAACTGAACAATGACAACAAACCACCTTGGTAAAATATATGATATAAAATGTTGAGCACTACATTTCCCTGTAACACCAAACAGAGAAATGAGTACGTGTAATGGCCTAGCTTACTTGCCCACAGCTATTATTTTATCAACTACTCTTGCCAATCATTTATATAAAGTGGTTTTTATTTAACTTAACTTCAGACATGTGTTAAACTGTGAGGCTTTGCTTATGCAGGGATAGCCCATTACTGCTGCATTACAAAATACCCCTTTGATCAAAACTATCAATGTAAATATATATATATATATATATATATATATTTGGATTATATCTCACAGATTGAAATATCATCATCACATGGAGCTCACCAAAGACCCTTGTGTTTCTCATACATATCGTCAACGCATGCTGTACCTAGTGGTTCTTAAGATATCATAAAAGCTTTACTAAGCTAAGAGGGATTACATCTAAAAAAGCATTGATAAATCATGACTTGAAGGCTGTCAAAGTATCAATCTTTAAATCATTTCAAGATTATATTTGTGTGTGTGTTGGTGTTGGAGGCATAGTTTAATTCTCGATGGAACTCGCAGGAAATTTGCCACTAAGTTTTTTTAAAAGTTGAACAGTTCAACGTTGAACAAAAAAAAATGATATCCAATAAAATATAGAATGACTGTTATTTCTTTATATTTCATCAATTTATAATAGATATCTCTTAAAACCGTTACTTTGTTTTCAAGATTGAAACTGGTCTCCAATTGCTTAAACTATAGAGAAGATCCGGTCACATCGTCCTTGAGTCTGAAATCAAAGCTAGTGCTATCACAGCATCATCGTTTTCATGTATGCAGTTTGGTGTGATGGGTCGGGAGGCGGCGACACTACTGTCAAATTAGCTGCTTAATGGATTGCAGATGCAACGATCGGCACGTGCCACTTCAGCCAGTCCGTAACTCAACCCCACCATCCAAATTCACATCTCAATCCTACCAAAGGTGATTCATCTAGGTTGTCACATTATCAAGGCTTGTTTCTTAGAACATTCTAATGAGTTACATTCATCTAATCAATTGGATCAATTCAATGTGGTAATCGTAACCAAATCCCAATCAGTGCTATCCACTCTGGCGAGATGAATCATCCTATTCACTTTACCATAATCATCTTCCTAACCATCTCTTTAAGTGTTTTATCCTGGCTGTACTTCTCCTAATATAGTCCTAAAATATGATTTGAAGCGTAACTGTAATAGTAAACGATAAAGTGCCCTAATAAATTAATTCTACATAACAACGATATATGCCACCAATCGGAGTGCCTGAAAAAGAACCTTCAACTTCATAAAAGCTTAATTTTACACCATAAGAGTGGTGCACTGATGATCACGTCACTACTGGTTTAATGTCTTTCCAAGGACATAGCAGTATCAGTATCATTATACCAATTATATACTCTTCCCATTCTTAAGATGATACAACCTTGAACTTCATATCACACATCATGCATGTCTAATTAAATGCTTAGCAACCCGTCATCTACACATCTACAGACAGTACTTTCATTGCTTCATCTTGTTACTATGACAACGACCACCCTCTCCCTCCCACATCAATGAAGACACAAATTGGCTTTATGCATTACATTCATTTCGTTGATGCGCGTTTATACGTAGTGAAAAAGTGCAATGACATTTGCAGAGTTCCTCCCAATTTTTTCTGCTCAGCTGAGCATTGTGATAGCGAGGATTCGTACCAAACAGAATTAACGCCTAACAAGATTATTTCATATAAGTGACTCTGTACGAGCAAAGCAAACAAACGGATTACATGGCCGTGCAATGAGAGCCCTACAGATTAGCGGAATACACAGTTCTTGTAATCATTTGGCATGGTGACGCACCGTTTAAATAAAATAGGCACGAGTGAACTCTTCAGAGTGTTAGCCTCTTTTTGGTCATGCATTCAAACATCCGTACCCCTTGCCTATCCACTCATTCCCCACTCCAAAATTGGTCTTTAATAGTACTGCATCTACTTTCGCATCAATAGAGAACTATCAACGTCAGTGGTACATTATATAGGGTGGGTGATTGTGTGGGTGTAATGCTATATAAATATTTAATTCCCATGGATTGAATTATAATGGCATCATCGTCAAATATTAAAATTAAAGTTTTTCATCAACATTTTGCTCTTATAAATGTGCAATTTGCCATGAGAGGACATAATAGTAAAAGCTTGGAAGCAATAATATGAAGTCCTACTTTCTTCTTTCATTGTTCTTTGTTCCTGTTACACCTTTCTCAAAGCATTATACT